CAAGCCATATCTGCAACATGTTTAGTGACAAAACCCTGTCCCACTTCAGCGAAATCTTAGAGACACGCCAGAAACAGAGCACTCTGGACAGTTATTTTGTGAGACAGGGGTCCAGTGACTCTCAAGCTGGTTCTAGTGGCATTAAAAGACAGACAAGGGAAGTAACCCCAGAGAAGGCATTGCTACCTAAAGTCTTCATGGAGGGGGATTCCCCTTCCAAACACTAACTCCTCCCTGTTTCCTCCTCCCTATCTTCCAGAAGCCAGCATTAGCCTTCAATAAAGGTATGTAATACTTACATAATTGTAAAAAAAATTTTTTTTTTTTTTGTGAATATTTTTGTTGGGAACGAATTAATTTCATTTCCATTAATTCTTATGGGAAATATTAATTCGGTTATCGGCCATTTCAGTTATCAGCCGACCTTCAGGAATGGATTACGGCCAATAACCGGGGGTCCACTTTATTTCGATTTTCGTCCATTTCGGATAAGCCGAACTTCTGGAGCAGATTAAGGAGAAAAACTGGGGTATTACTGTATGCACATTTTCTCTGATGTTGGACTGAGAAAACCTTATTCTTGCCATCACTCATACAAGTCGTCTAGCTATCACATCTCATATTTATGTTAAATTATTCTACTGTGGGGTGTATTCATCATGTTACGTATTGTGTTTATTATATAATTTTGAAAAAATATCATATATGGATTAATGAAAATGTGTATATGTATTAACATAATATATGACAATTAATGAGACTGTGATTATTATTATCATCATCATTACTAATATAGCATCTCGAGACATAAGACACTCTTACTGATTTTAATGTGCACCTGCACACCAGCACAATGTGTAAGTATATTTAGGTACAGGTATACATAAGTATAATTATCAGAGTACAGTGGTACCTTGAGTTATGAACTTAATTCGTTCCAGAAGGCTGTTTGAGTGCTGATACCGAACAAATTTTTTCCCAAAAGGAATAATGTAAATTAGATTTGTCCATTTCAGACCCCCAAAATACACTTACAAAAATACACTTACATAATTGTTCGAGTTAGGAGCTGTTCGAAACTTGAGGTACCACTGTATATATAAAATATGAAATAATTTAAAAAAACACTTGAAATTTTGGAAAGTTTCCACACATAATGGAGAGATGTGGTGCTCATAAAGCTCAGGGAGACTGCAAACAAACCAGGTGGGGCATGGTGACTGTATCAGAAAGTGAGAGAAGCCGTAGAGTTTTGGTCATAATCTAAAATGTCCATATTAGCAGAATGCCATAAAGCAAAATGCCGTAAAGAGGGGCCCTACTGTAGGCACTGTCCCCTATCTTTATTATCATTATATTTATCTTTATTCTTATTACAGCCTCTCCTTACTTGGCGACGTATTCATTTGCCAATAACTCAGACTTACAATGGGCTCTCTGACCAGTATGCATACGTAAATAATGTATATTAGAGCTGATTTCCTCTATTCTATTTAGAGTAGACTGTCATTTAACACAGCAGTTACGTTCCTGAAAATGCTGTGTTAGGTAAAACAGTGTTAGGTGAACTGAAGAACTTATGGGAAAAATAGGGTTACGTTTCTGGGAACCCCAAAAAAGCCAAACTTTTTTTAGGCCTCCACATCTTACAAAAATAAAAGTGAATATGTAATTGTAGTTCATTGTTGTGATGCATTATGTTGTTTTTACTGCTTAAGATTACAAATGTAACAAAAATAATAGTAGTTCATACCTTAAATTGTGGGTGCTGGTATTTGTGGATGACTGTGAAGAGAGTGGAGAGCTATGCTGTGGCTCTACTGGGCTGAGGTGGATGGTAGAGGTTCTGGTACTGAAGTCGATGGATGTACTGGAGTGTCTAACTTTAAGTCATTTAGTCACTCAGTCAAGTCAGTAAGTCAGTCAAGTCATTTAGTAAGTCAAGTCAGTAAGTAAAGTCATTCAGTCAGTCAAGTCAGTCAGTAAGTTAGTCAAGTCAGTAAGTCATTCAGTCAGTAAGACATTCAGTAAGTCAGTCAAGTCATTCAGTCAGTCATGTCATTCAGTCAGTCGAGTCATTCAGTCAAATCATTAAGTTAGTCAAGTCAGTCAAGTCAGTAAGTTATTCAGTCATGCCATTCAGTGAGTCAAGTCATTCAGTAAGTCAATCAAATCAGTAAGTCAATCAAATCAGTAAGTCAAGTTATTCAGTCAAGTTAGTAAGCTCTTCAGTCAACTCAGTCATTCAGTAAGTCAGTCAGTCACAGAAACTCATGTTTACCTCTTTTTCTGTGTACAAAGTAACACTTCATTATAGTTATCTCTTGTCTAACATCTTTATTTTCTTCCTTAATTCTAAGATTTATATGTTTATACCATTTCTTGCCAGTTTCAGCAACACTGGCATGCCTACTGGATGTCATGATTGCTTGGCAGATACAAAATATAGTAATTAACAGAGTAAAACAATTCACACACACAGCTAGCTTGTAGCAAAGAAGGACTGGACTGGACATGTAAGAAGTTCAAATGCTGGGATGGTGGGATAGTGTCGATGGTTGGCAGGGGATGGCGGGAGGTCTCCCTCGCTGATCCACAACAAGGCAGCCGCTTGAGGAAAAGGGAACTTTTTTTCCCTTCCCACAAACTTAACCGTGTTAAATTACCTTTACGATATGTTACATAAAATTGTGCCGCGATTCTTCAATCATGCTATACCCAAATCATGCCAAGTAAACTCGTGCTAAATGAAGGTCTGCTCTGTTACAATATATAGTACACTACTGTATAAACATTTAAAAAATATACCAGAAATGTTACAAATGGTGCAAAGGTGACACAAATCCACTACCATTATAGTATGCTCCTCACTAAGCGATTAATTCGTTTACCAACGTGGTCTTAGGAACAGAACTCCATCGTTAGGCGAGAAGAGGCTGTATTTATATTTTATTATTGTTTAAAAGTGAGAGTAGAAGGTGGGCTGCAGTGAGTGAAGTCTACCAGTAGTGTGTAGTGAGGTTAGCCAGAGTAGCCTCCACCGTACCTCACACACAGTAACTAGTATAGGTTGCTCCCGTTATTTAATTTATTATCTTCTGTTATAAGGTAAGAAGCGTAGTGCAGTGAGGTGAGTAGGGTAGTGTCTGCTGCACCTCACTCGTTACAACTGATAGCACACTCAGCTCACACATTGAGGTTCGGAGTTCGAATCTCCTCGTGTACAGCTGGAAAACATTAGGGACATGTTTCCATAGGACACCTGCCGTCCATGTTCACCCATCAGTATAAAATGGGTACCTGGGTGTTAGTCGACTGGTATGGGTCGCATCCTGGGACAAAACTGATCTAATTTACCCGAAGTGCTCAGCAAAACAAGCGGCTTTCTATGCAGTAGTATGTCATTGATGTCAGCTAGGCCTGTATAATTTGTACATGTACTTGTAGTAAATAAAGATATTATAAATAATAATAATAATAATAATAATAATATATTATTATTATTATTATTATTATTATAATTATCTTCCATCCTTCTCTTATTCTCTGTCTCTCTCTCTTCATTCCCATTATTTCATCTCTCTCTCTATCTCCCCCCCCCCCAGAAATGACATCGTCAAATATTTTACCTTTAAAGAATTTATATATTTTTTGTAAGAAATTAAGTATTTATTTAACTATTGTGCTATTTTACTTAAATACCCAAATTAGACAGAATGCTAACATTAACACTTGAATCATCAAGCACATATATGTCTTTTAATAAAAATTCTGCGGCACCAATAGCAGACATCAACCAAATCTTCGAATGGGCCACTTAAAAAATATGAAGTTCAACGAGGAGAAATTTCAACTACTCAGATATGAGAAACTTGAAGAAATTAAAAATGTGTCAGGGTATACGACAAATTTTAACCATATAATAGAGCGGAAAAGTAATGTGAAGGACCTGGGAGTGATAATGTTAGAGGATCTCGCCTTTAAAGACCACAACAATGTATCTACCGCATCCGCTAGGAAAATGATAGGCTGAATAATGAGAACCTTCAAAACTAGGGACGCCAAGCCCATGATGATTCTCTTAAAATCGCTTGTGCTCTCCATTCTGGAATACTGCTGTACACTAATGGCCCCCTTCAAGGCTGGTGACATTGCAGACCTGGAGAGTGTACAAAGAACTTTCACGGCACACATTAGTATGATAAGGCAACTAAACTACTGGGAACAGTTGAAGGTCCTTGATCTGGATTCCATCAAATGCAGGCAAGAGAGATACATGATAATATATACTTGGAAGGTCCTGGAGGGATTGGTACCAAACTGGCACACGAAAATCAGTCCCTATGAAAGCAAAAGACTTGGCAGGAGATGCAACATTCCCCCGATGAAAAGCAGGGGTGCCACGAGTACACTGAGTGACAACATAATGAGTGTCTGGGGCCCAAGACTGTTCAACTGCCTCCCAGCATACATAAGGGGGATTACCAATAGACCCCTGGCTGTCTTCAAGAAGGCACTGGACAGGCACCTGAAGTCAGTACCTGACCAACTGGGCTTTGGTTTGTACGTCAGCTTGCGTGCGGCCAACAGTAACAGCCTGGTTGATCAGACCGTGATCCATGAGGCCTGGTCTCAGACCGGGTAGTGTGGGGCATTGACCCGCAAAACCCTCTCCAGGTAAACTCCAGGAGAGATGTAGAATGTGTGTGATCAGACATTACTGCAAAGAGTGCAATACAACACCGTATATGTCAAAATTGGTAAGAAACAACATTTAGCTAACTTGGAGTCTGTACACACAGCTAGACCATCAGGTAGCCAGAAGTTACATTTACAGTAACAACAGAAAAAACAAAGCAACAATTCTGAATGGACTTAAAGTTTAGTGGCCATAGGCTGCTACCCATGATTTGTTTTTCATTATATGGGGAGTTTTGGTTAACAAATTTTCATATAAAGTCTCAAGGAATCATTATTACACCTATTATAATGCTTAATTATTATTCTGCAAGCATGTATTGACACACTAGGACCTTAGATGTGTAGCAGTTTAGATTCAAAATGTTATTTATATTCCTAATAAAATTAATCAAAATGCTGTCTTGCAATAATAAAGGAGCTCTCACCTTCATAATGCCATTCCAATTATCACCTGTTGCAACCCTAAATAGTGTGAGAAATGCCATGCCAAAGTGTTTAAAGTGGGCATGTTCCCCTAGTCCCTGACAAAGGTGGTCATCATCACATTCTGAAAAGAAAATTACTCATAACACTAAATAAATTCCACACTTACTACCATAGAAAAACTTTTACTATTCATGTCATGGCCATAATGCAGTAAAATATCATGACCATCTTATTATCACTCAACACTCATCTGAGTATTCAAGATAAAAGCTGATGAAGACTGCAACAAAGAAAATAATGTAATCTCTGCTACAACAATTCTCTTTACTATTAAGTTTTGTTTCTCAATCACTGCAGATTCCAATTTTGACCTGATATATGTTATAAGCAGTTATTTCAATATTTCTCCATCCATATATTTGAAAGCTATTTTATATTCTGCAGATGTAGCAAATGAATTTCTCACAATTACATTTACACGATAATTTTTTATTTTAACAACTCCTAAGTCCCTCTCTGTGTAGTATACCTTGAGCATTTTTTTGCAAACTATATTGTTCATATAGCCAGATTTAACTTTCTCCCATTTCAATTACATACCATTTGTCTATAATAAATTCTAACATCAATCTGTCACTCCATTTGCTCATTTTATATAAGTCATCCCGTAGAGATTTAGCTATTTATTATTTCTTTAACCTAAGATTCTTGCATCATTCAAAAGCATATTCACAATTTTGTATTCCTTCTGCTTAGTCATTTATATCAATTGAAAACACAATTGGGGCTAGTACAGATCCTTAAGACACCCCACTTGTGACAACCCCCCATGAGGAAATTCTCCACACAACTCGCTGCATTTTCCTCTCAAACAATCTCTCTCATCTACTTCAACAATTTGCCCATTATTACTCCTACACTTTGTAGTTCCAAGTTATTTTGTCATGGGGATCTCTATCAGAAGCTTTCTTAAGATCTACATAAATACAATCTGTCTATCATTTCTTTATTAAACAATTTCCAAGACTCTGTCATAACTTACTTGATTTATTATAATATATGGCAAAAACAATTCATTTACATTCCTGTGAGGCATTTGGAAGGTCACTGATATGTCGACGAGGAACAGAAGAGGGTCCAGGACACTGCCCCACTGCCCTGTGGAGCCCCTATCTTGATTGGTGGAGTCTGACATCTCCTCAACCATCTACGACTACTGAACCATCTACCCATATGTCTCCAATACTGACTGTGATGTTGCTGCTGGAACCATACAGCTCCTCTGACTCAAGAGTTATTCTGAATCAGAGGTGCTGTAAAGCTCCAGCAGTAACATTAAAGATAGTGTGGGATATACACAGGTAGAAGGTGTGGGAGATGCATATGGTTCAGTAGATGTAGATAGTTGAGGAGATGCCAGACTCCACCTTTCTTATTAGTTCACATCATTGCTAACACCTAGATTTATATTTCTCTTCTTGGCACCATCATTTGCTTTAGAGGTCAATATTATCAACACTATTTTATATTATAATAGCATAATAAACACTGTAAATCCAGGGGAAGATTGGAGATAGAATGAGAGCATGTGAGCACACATGCAGACAATAACAAACTGATGCTGGCAGGGTCAGTGGCCCCACTCACCTAGAAATAATAATAGCAGACAAGTCCTGGATGTGGCCCATACTAGACAAACCTGAAATGCAGTGGATTTGGTCCATTTCATTGATGGTACTACTGGATACCTCCAATATAGACAACCCTACAATTCGGTGGACTTGGTCTACTTTACTGATGATTCTACTAGACACCCCTGTGTAGTAGACTCACAGAGCCTTTGTCTGGACAAAAATTCTGTTATATCATAAATCCATTCCATAGGGGGTCAGTCATGCCAAGGCTTACTGTACCTGGATGACAACTAATGAACTCACACTCAATAAAGACCAGGCTTTCTAAATAATGTTTATGAGCAAAGCTAAAACAATTTGGTTTACACAAAAATATATAATATAGCCATCAAAAGACATGATGTGCAGAAACATTCCTTGGTATAAACAGCAAATTAAAATTTAGCACATACATCCAACATATTACTAACAAAAAATTCCAAAACAGTGGGCATACACTCAAAAATATGCTACTATATATCTCAATGATCATTACTCACTCAATACTCTATAATCTATTTCTACCTATTTAGGTATTTGTGAAAGGGGATCTACAACAGCAAATTACCTAAAACCAATCATTACTCAACAGAAGTCTTATTAGAATAATCATTCAATCAAGTTCTAGACAACACCCAATCCTCTTCAAAGGTTTAAGTTTGTTGAACATACAAAATATCAAATGTGCATATATATATACAGGACACTCAACACAAACATTAACTCACAGCTCAAACTCTTTTGGGAGAGCTGCAACAGAACATATGGACACAATACAAGAAACAAATGTTACCTTGATATTCCACATATTTGCCTCAACCTGTTTAGAAGCTTGAGGCAGATATCAGGTACAGAGCTATGAAAGGCTCTATGTGTTTCAATAAACGTAATATTTTAAAAACACCTAAATCTTGTGTAACTTACATAAACTGATTTTAAATTCTCATGCATTATTGTCACCATCTCACAACTATTGTCACCATCTCTCAATTATTGTCACCATCTCACCATTACTGTCACCATCTTAACATTATTGTCACAAAATGCAGATGTAGTATACATAGACTTTGCAAAAGGTTTCAACAAGTGTGACCACACTGTAATTGCGCACAAAATGCATGATAAAGAAATGACAGAAAAAGTTGGTAGGTGGATCTATAACTTCCTAACAAATAGAACACAAAGAGTAATAGTAAACAGAGTAAAGTCTGAGGCAGCTAGGGTGAAAAGCTCTGTTCCACAAGGCACAGTACTTGCTCCCATCCTATTCTTCATCCTCATATCTGACATAGACAGAGCTGCAATCCATAGCTCCGTGTCTTCCTTTGCGGATGACACCCGAATTGCCATGACAGTGTCCTCCATCAAAAACACCACAAAACTCCAGGTGGACATAAACCAAATTGTCAAATGGGCTGCTCAAAACAAACAATATGAAGTTCAATGAGGGGGAAATTTCAACTACTCAGATATGGAAAACTGTATCAGGGTACACAACAAATTCTAACCATACAATAGAGCAAAAAAGTAATGTGAAGGACCTGGGAATGACAATGTCAGATGATCTCACCTTTCAAAGACCACAACAATGTATCTACCACATCTGCTAGAAAAATGATAGGATGGATAACGAGAACCTTCAAAACTAGGGACGCCAAGCCCATGACGATTCTCTTCAGATTGATTGCTCTCTCTGGGCTGGAATAGTGCTGTACACTAACTGCCCCCTTCAAGGCAGGCAAAATTGCTGACGTGGAGTGTACAAAAAACTTTCACTGTACACATACCTGGAGACCTGGAGTTTACCTGGAGAAGGTTTCGGGGGTCAACGCCCCCATGGCTCGGTCTGAGACCAGGCCTCATGGTAGATCAGGGTCTGATCAACCAGGCCATTACTGCCAGCTGCACGCAAACTGACGAACGAACCACAGCCCAGTTGGTCAGGTACTGACTTCAGGTGCCTGTCCAGTGCCTTCTTGAAGACAGCCAGGGGTCTATTGGTAATCCCCCTTATGTATGCTGAGAGGCAGTTCAATAGTCTTGGGCCCTGGACACTTATTGTGTTATCTCTCAATGTACTCGTGGTGCCCCCTGCCTTTCATCGGGGAAATGTTGCATTTCCTGCCGAGTCTTTTGCCTTCATAGAGAGTGATTTTCATGTGCAGGTTTGGTACCAATCCCTCTGGGACCTTCCAAGTGTACATTATCATGTATCTCTCTCACCAGCATTCCAGGGAATACAGATCAAGGACCTTCAACTGTTCCCAGTAATTTATGTGCCTTATCGTACTTATGTGTGCTGTAAAAGTACTTTGTACACTCTCCAGGTCTGCAATGTCACGAGCTTTGAAGAGGGCCATTAGTATACAGCAGTATTCCAGCCTAGAGAGAACAAGCGATTTGAAGAGTGTCATCATGGACTTGGCATCTCTAGTTTTGAAGGTTCTCATTATCCATCCCATCATTTTCCTAGCCGATGAGGTAGATATATTGTTGTGGTCTTTGAAGGCGAGGTCCTCTGACATTATCTCTCCCAGGTCCTTCACATCTCTTTTTCACTCTTTTGTATGGTTAGAATTTGTCGGATACCCTGATACATTTTTAATTTCCTCAAGTTTTCCATATCTGAGTAGTTGAAATTTCTCCTCATTGAGCTTCATGTTGTTTTGAGCAGCCCATTTGAAGATTTGGTTAATGTCCGCTTGGAGTCTTGTGGTGTCTTCAGTGGAGGTCACTGCCATGGCAATCTGGGTGTCATCCACAAAGGAAGACACAGTTCTATGTCAGAAATGAGGATGAGGAATAGAATGTGAGTGAGTACTGTGCCTTGTGGAACAGAGCTTTTCACCATGACTACCTGGGACTTTACTCTGTTTACTTTTACGCTTTGTCAGGAACTTATAGATCCATTTACCAACTTTTCCTGTTATTCCTTTATCATGCATTTTGTGTGCCATTACACTGTGGTGACACTTGTCAAAAGCCTTTGCAAAGTCTGTGTACAGTACATCTGTATTTTGTTTAACCTCAACAGCATCCAGGACCTTGTCATAGTGGTCCAGGAGCTGAGACAGGCAGGAGCGATCTGCTCTAAACCCATGTTGCCCTGGGTTGTGTAACTGATGGGTATCTAGGTGGCTGGTGACCTTAAGAACATAAGAAAGAAGGAACACTGCAACAGGCCTATTGACCCATGTGGAGCAGGTCCATGCCCCCCCCCCGGATTAGCCCAATGACCCACTCAGATGGGTCACCTAAACTCAAGGAAGGAGCACGGCACCAGACCCAGCAGCACAAGCTAGTCAGGTCCAACTCACATCCACCCACACCCACTCATGTATTTATCTAACCTATTTTTAAAACTACACAATGTTTGAGCCTCAATAACTGTACTTGGGAGTTTGTTCCACTCATCCACAACTCTATTACCAAACCAGTGCTTTCCTAT